CATCCACAAAAAGCTGAATACACATTCTTCTCAAGCGTACATGGAACATTCTCCAAGATAGACCACATGCTGAGCCACAAAACATGCCTCCATAAAATTAAGAAGGTAGAGATTGTATCAACAATCTTCTCAGACCATAATGCTCTGAAATTAGAAGTAAATCACACACAAAAACAGAAAACTAAATCAAACACCTGGAAATTAAACAGTGCACTATTGAACAACGAGTGGATTAGACAGGAAATCAAAGAGGAAATCAAAAGATTCCTAGAAACGAATGAAAATGAGAACACGAGTTACCAAAACTTATGGGACACAGCAAAGGCTGTGTTAAGAGGAAAGTTTATAGCTCTACAAGCATTCCTCAGGAAGGAGGAGCGAGCACACATAAGTAACCTAACCTCACAGCTTAAGAGCTTGGAGAAGGACCAAAAAAAGGAGCACAACCCGAACAGGAGAAAGGAAATAATAAAACTCAGAGCAGAGATTAACGAGATGGAAACCCAAAAAACAATCCGAAAGATCAATGAAACCAAGAGCTGGTTCTTCGAGAAAATTAACAAGATCGATAAGCCTCTAGCAAAACTCACAAAGAAAGGGAGAGAGAAAACCCTAATAAACCGAATCAGAAATGAAAAGGGGGTCATTACAACAGAAACCACAGAAATTCAGAGGATCCTCAGGGAGTACTTTGAGAAGCTTTATGCCACGGAACATCAAAACCTCGAGGAAATGGATAAATTCCTAGACTCCTACAGACTCCCAAGGCTGAACCAAGAAGACCTGGAATACCTGAACAGACCTATCACCATCAAGGAAATTGAAATGGTAATAAAAAGTCTCCCCAAGCACAAAAGTCCTGGCCCGGATGGATTCACTAGTGAATTCTTCCAAATCTTTAAAGAGGACTTACTCCCAATGCTCTTTAAGCTTTTCCACGAAATTGAAATATCAAAAACACTTCCAAACAGTTTCTACGAAGCAAATATCACACTGATACCAAAAGCAGACAGAGATACCACAAAGAAAGAGAATTACAGGCCGATATCCCTGATGAACACAGATGCAAAGATCCTCAACAAACTACTAGCAAATAGAATCCAACTACTCATCAAAAAGATCATACACCATGACCAAGTAGGATTCATCCCAGGGATGCAAGGATGGTTTAACATTCGGAAATCAATCAACATAATCCACCATATCAACAAAAGAAAAGATAAAAAGCATATGATCATATCAATAGATGCAGAGAAAGCATTTGATAAGATCCAGCACCCCTTTATGATGAAAACCCTAGCCAAAATGGGTATAGAGGGGACCTTCCTCAACATAATTAAAGCCATCTACCACAAGCCTACAGCAAGCATCATCCTCAATGGGGAAAAACTGAGAGCCTTCCCTCTAAGATCAGGGACGAGACAGGGATGCCCACTCTCTCCACTGCTGTTCAATATAGTACTGGAAGTACTTGCAATAGCGATTAGGCAGGAAAAAGATATTAAGGGCATTCAGGTAGGAAAGGAAGAAATCAAGCTCTCACTATTCGCAGATGATATGATACTCTACTTAGAGAACCCAATAACTTCCACCAAAAAACTCCTAGAAACAATAGACTCGTATAGTAAAGTTGCAGGTTATAAAATCAATACCCAAAAGTCCATGGCTTTCCTATACGCAAACAGTGAGAGAGAAGAAAGCAACATGAAAAAAACAATCCCATTCACAATTGTGCCCCAGAAAATCAAGTACCTAGGAATCAGCTTAACTAAGGAAGTAAAGGACCTGTACAAAGAAAACTACAAAACGCTACTTCAGGAAATAAAAGAGGACATGAGGAAATGGAAAGATATCCCCTGTTCATGGGTCGGGAGACTTAACATTGTCAAAATGGCAATACTACCGAAAGCATTGTATAAATTCAATGCAATCCCTATAAGGATACCCATGACATTCTTCAAAGAAATGGAGCAAACACTCTTGAAATTTATATGGAACAATAAGCCCCCACGAATAGCTAAAGCAATTCTTGGGAAAAAGAAAATGGGAGGAATCAACCTCCCGAACTTCAAACTGTACTACAAAGCAGTAATAATTAAAACAGCATGGTACTGGAACAAAGGCAGAACTGCAGACCAATGGAACAGGGTTGAATACACTGACATCTCTCCTCAATCATATACTCATCTAATCTTTGATAAAGGTGCAAGTAATGTGAAGTGGAGTAAGGAAAGCCTCTTTAATAAATTGTGTTGGCATCACTGGACGGCTACATGCAAAAAAATAGGCTCAGAACTCTGCCTAACACCATGTACAAAAGTAAGATCAAAATGGATTAAAGACCTCAACATCAGACCAGAAACCATAAGGTACATTGAAGATAAAGTTGGCAAAACCCTCCATGACATTGAAGCTAATGGTATCTTCAAAGATGCCACGCCACTGGCCAAGCAAGTGAAAACAGAGATAGATAAATGGGACTATCTTAAACTAAGAAGCTTCTGCACCTCCAAAGAAACAGTGACCAAAATACAAAGACAGTCTACAGAATGGGAAAGGATATTCACCGAATACACATCTGACAAGGGGTTGATATCCAGGATATACAAAATACTGGTTAAACTCCACAAGAAGAAAACATCCAACCCCATCCAAAAATGGGGCAATGAAATGAACAGAAACTTTCTCAAAGAAGAAATCCGAATGGCAAAAAAGCACATGAGAAAATGCTCTACATCATTAATCATCAGGGAGATGCAGATCAAAACCACAATGAGATACCATCTCACACCTCAGAGACTGGCCCACATTCAAAAGAACAAAAGCAACCGATGCTGGCGTGGATGTGGCGAGAAAGGGACACTCCTTCACTGTTGGTGGGAATGTCCACTGGTTCAGCCCTTCTGGAAAACAGTATGGATGATTCTCAAAAAATTAGAAATTGAGCTCCCATTTGACCCAGCAATACCACTCCTGGGAATATATCCCAGAGAGGCAAAAATGTATAGTCGAAGTGACATCTGCACTTGTTTGTTCATTGCAGCACTCTTTACAATAGCCAGAAACTGGAAGAAACCTGAATGCCCAAGAACAGATGACTGGTTAAAGAAACTTTGGTACATCTACACAATGGAGTACTATGTAGCTCTTAGAAAAGATGAAGTCATGAAATTTACATACAAGTGGTACAATATGGAAAGTATCATGCTAAGCGAAATGAGTCAGAAAGAGAGGGATAGACATAGAAAGATTGCATTCATCTGGGGGATATAAAGTAACAAAGTATTAGATTAATACCCAAGAATAGCTGATATCAGCACCAGGAGGATTACTCCATAACTTAGAGGCCAGCCGGGTATCCTAGAGGAAAGGGCTGTTCAGATAGAGAAGGGAGCACCAAATAAAGGATGTTTGGAGGATCCTCCCAGGAGGGGAGATGCATGTTGAAAGTAGACTATGGACTGAACATGTTTGCCACTCAATGCCTTTTTTGCAGACCACAACACCCAAAAGGAGAGAGAGAACACAGGGGATTGCCCTGCCACAGAGACAGGGGGGATGGGGGGATGGGGGTGGGAGGGATATTATCCATGGTGGTGGAAAATGGGCACTGGTGGAGGGATGGGTATCTGATCATTGTATAATTGAAACCAAAGCACAAAAAATTGTAAATCTACAACTTTAAAAAAAATAAAATAAAATAAAGGAAAAAAAAAAAGAAAAAAGCAGTCAGTCTATGGTGACATAAGAAAAGTAGTGGAGGGTCTTTGGCAGTTTTGTGGCAGTGATAGGACAGTAATTTTGTATGCCCATTCAATAATATTAACACTACTGTAAAAAAAAAAACCAGATGGCTATGTGTGGTATTGGGGATAGAATTCACTGATTTAGTTGCTGAAAAGAAGGCAAGAGTAATTGGCAGAGCTAGGGTCCAACAAGAGGCAGCCCTCATCCTCTCTATTCATTTCCTGTGCATTCCTCTCTGTACTTTTCTCTGAGCACTAACCTCTTTCTTCCCAAATGCAGACAAGTCTTCACTTGCCAGGGAAAGTGGTCACAGATACACCTAGCTATGCAACTGAACATCCAAATAGCAATCCCAGAGAAGGGCTGTGATTGGCTTTTTAGGTCACATGGTCATGCATCAGACCAATCATATTGTTAGAGGGATCATGAATTCTATTATTTATTTTTTGATTTTTGGGTCACACTCAGCTATGCTCAGGGGTTACTCCTGGTTCTGCACTCAGGAATTACTCCTGGCAGTACTCGGGGACCATATGAGATGCTGGGAATTGAACCCAGGTCAGCTGTGTGCAAGGCAAAGGCCCACCTGCTGTGCTATTGCTCCAACGGGGGTGGGGTGGGGGGGGACCATGAATTCTAAATGGCCAGTTTGGGTCACATGCACAACTATTGCTTCCAGCTTTTTTTTTCCTTCCTAGATTGTGGGAATTGGACTCAGGGTCCCATGCTTGCAAGGCAAGTATGTTACTGCTGAGCCTTATCACTGGCCCCAAACTGTTGTTTGCAGGTAAAGGGGAATAAGAAGGCCTCTGGGAAGATAGGAAACTAATCTCCAGTATTACGCAGCACGAAGGGAGTGTCTGGTTCCCCCTCCCCCCCACACACACTCATAGCCACTATAGCAACATTAGATAAACATATCCACAAGGAACTCTGAAATCATTTTATAAAACATCGCACAAGGTAGGGTTGCCATTATATGCTAGAAACCAAATAACATATTTGTGTTTTCAAAGTGTACTTACATCCTATATCTAATTTGTCCCATACCAAAAACCCTGGTGTGTGACAAAAAAAGGAATAATGACCCGGAGAAGGTAAGTGATGGATTTAGGGATACACAACAAATAAGGAGAGAGGGAAATGTTAAAGCCAGATCCCCAGACTCCCATTTCAGTGCTCTCTGCCAATAACATCACAGCCAAAGTTGAGATCTGGGGCGGGGAGGGCCACCCTCAGGCTCCCCTGGCTGGTTAAGGGAGAGAGCTTCGTCTGCTGTCTGCCCCTGAGAGGAGCTGGGCCGACTCTCTGGAGGAGATGGACCTGCGAGCTTTGCCGGTCAGACCCTGCCCGAGCTCTAATGGGGGAGGCCCCTCCACGGGCGTCCTCCCAGCGGGCACTCTCTGTGCGCAGCGCCTTTAGGACGTGCTGGAGATGCCCGAGTGTCAGCAAGAGTCTCCGGTCTTGTTCTTGCATCTCGGCCTAGGAGAGAGAACAAGCCCTTAAGCGGTACTTCGGGACCCTGCCAGCCACGCCCCCGCCATCAGTGTCTTATCTACAGCCTCGCAGATGCTGACCAAGACTCAGCTTCTCCTACTCCAAAGCGAAAAGCAAACGACTTACCTGTCAAGGCTTTGGTGAACGGACGAATGAATAAATCAGGCCCCTGGATAAATCAGCGCTCCAAGGTGAGACTTTGAGCATAGTTCTTTATCTTCACGATCATATTACTAAATAGTATTATGATCGTTTACAATCTGCTAATTATTCAATGCTTGCAGTAACTAACAAATTCTTTATTAAGTATTAAGTTGGTAATGACTTTAGGGTTCATTGAAGTGATCAAGGTTTTATATTAAAATGAGATTAAAATGAGGTGGAATACACTTAGCAATCAGGCCTTCTAGAACAGTGATTCTTTTTTATTTATTTATTTGTTTCCAAGATTTTTAAAATTGAATCACTGTTAGATAGACCCTTGCAAAGCTGTTCATGATTAGGTTTCAGTCACACAGTGTTCCAACACCCATCCCTCCACCAGTGTACATTTCCCAGCACCAATGTCCCCAGGTTCCCTCCCATCATCCCCCACCTCCTCCTCAGGCTGCCTCTATGACAGGCATTTCTCTCTCTCTCTCTCTCTCTCTCTCTCTCTCTCTCTCTCTCTCTCTCTCTCTCTCTCCTTTTGGGCATCGTGGTTTGCAATACAGATAAAGAACAGTGAATCTTAAGGCCAGGGGAACACTTAGATCCCCAAAACTCTTGCAAAGGATTATTGAGGTCTAAAATACTTGTATTAGGTGCTGGAGTGATAGACAGTGGGTAGGGCATTTGCCTTACACGCAGCCAACCTGGGTTCGATTCCCAGCATCCCATGTGGTTCCCTGAGCTCTGCCAGGAGAAATTCCTGAGCGCATGAGCCAGGAGTAACCCCTGTGCATCGCTGGATGTGACCAAAAAAGAAAACAAAACTTGTATTAAAATACTAAGATATTATTGCCTTGTTCACGTTCATCATCTTATAAGCATAGTGTGGAATTGTCCAGAAACTACATGGTATATGATATGATACCAGATTGAATACAGAATCAAACATGAGGACGAGGCCATTTTCTTTAAGGAAAACTTTAAGGAGATTAAATAGATGACATTTTTCATTGACATTTTCTTTGGAAAATTATGTAAAACAAAATATTCACTTGTAATGAGTTTATTATTATTTTTGAGAGACGAATATATAATAAATAAATTTGAACATTTTCTCTGTTGGCATTTTAAGTTCAGTCAACATTGATAGATATAGCTCTCACAAATGAGAGTGTTTTGGCTTTTTTTTTTGGCTTTTTGGGTCATACCCAGCGATGCACAGGGGTTACTCCTGGCTTTGCACTCAGGAATTACTCCTGGCAGTGCTCAGGGGACCATATGGGATGCTGGGAATTGAATCCAGGTTGGCCGCATGCAAGGTAAACGCCCTACTATCACTCCAGGCCCTTTTGGTGTTCTTGATAATTTTTACAGTAATTTTAAGAACAGTATTGATGTGACCAAGCCAGATACAGCAGAGTTGGAGGCAAACCCTGGGAATTCAGTTTACCCTTGGAAGCTGCCCAGTGGGTGTACCTACTCCCAATCTGTCTGTCTCCAAGAGAGAATTACTGTCATTATTTTAATTTTTTTTGGAGGGAAATCAGGGATATAATTTAGTTGGTAGGACATCACAAGTTTGGGTTTGATCCCTGGCACCAATGATTCAACAAACTAATGACATGAAATAAAATCAGTGGTCTTTCATGACACACTTTTGTTGAGAGATGTTGGCATGATAATTACACACTAGGAGACAAAGCCTCCCTGTTCCACTCCAGGGGTTCTACTACGGCCAAGAAAGTGGGCGGCTAGCAAAGTCAGTTTTGGGATAAATGTTTGGGCACTTGGCACTCACATTGCTCAGCTCGGGTGACACCTCCATAAGAATGGGATTGTCCCTGCCAGTCCCTGCGGAGATGTTGAGACTGTGTTTTCTCAACTTTAGGGATTTCCTCCCATACAATTTTTCCAGCTGACCTTCAGCACTGACTCTCAATGTGTGAACCAGAGAAGGCAATGAGGCATCCAGCCTGGAGGCGGTGTTCAAGTTGCTGGCAGACCTCTGTCTTTGGCCCTGATCCAGTTGGTTCCTGTAGGAGGGTGGTATCCTGGCTCAGAGCTCCTACAGGAGGCGCACTCTGGATGGATTTGCTCCAAGTCTGCGCTGTGCTCCTTTTATCCTCCTTCTGACCCTGTGCTGCTTGGTCTTCAGGTTGTGTCACCTGTCTACAAGGTGGCTGGCAGTTCCCTCCCCTCTCTCAGACCCTACCAGAGCTTGACAACTTGCATGTCTCCCAGATAAGCAGGGAAGATGCGGGACTGTAGTCCATCACAGTATTTAGGATGCTGAGTTGTTCTTCTGCTACTGCAGGCACAGATGCATGCTCGGTCCTTCCCTCACAGTCAGGTGGAGGAAGTCAGGTGGAGGAGGTCAGATGGAGGAGGTCACATGGGAGAGGTCAGGTGGAGGAGGTTGGGTGGAAGAGGTTATTTGGATGAGGTCGAGTGGAAGAGATTAGGTGGAGGAGGTCAGATGGAGGAGGTCAGGTGAAGGAGGTCAGGTGGAGAAGGTCAGGTGAAGGAGGACAGGTGGAGGAGGTCAGGTGAAGGAGGTCAGGTGGAGAAGGTCAGGTGAAGGAGGTCAGGTGGAGAAGGTCAGGTGAAGGAGGTCAGGTGGAGGAGGTCAGGTGGAGTAGGTCAGGTGGAGGAGGTCAGGTAGAAGAGGTTAGGTGGAAGAGGTTATTTGGATGAGGTCGGGTGGAAGAGGTTAGGTGGAGGAGGTCAGATGGAGGAGGTCAGGTGAAGGAGGTCAGGTGGAGAAGGTCAGGTGAAGGAGGTCAGGTGGAGGAGGTCAGGTGGAGGAGGTCAGGTGGAGGAGGTCAGGTAGAAGAGGTTAGGTGGAGGAAGTCAGATGGAGGAGGTCAGGTGAAAGAGGTGGAGGAAGTAAGGTGCAGAAATTCAGGTGGAGGAGATCAGGTGGAGGAAGTCAGGTAGGGGAGGTCAGGTGGAGGAGGTCAGGTAGAGGAAGTCAGGTGGAGGAGGTCAGGTAGAGGAGGTCAGGTGGAGGAGGTCAGATGGAGGAGGTCAGGTGAAAGAGGTGGAGGAAGTCAGGTGCAGAAATTCAGGTGGAGGAGATCAGGTGGAGGAAGTCAGGTAGGGGAGGTCAGGTGGAGGAGGTCAGATGGAGGAGGTCAGGTGGAGGAGGTCAGGTGAAAGAGGTTAGGTGGAGGTCAAGTGGAGAAATTCAGGTGGAGGAGGTCTGGGGGAGAAGGTCTGGTGGAGGAGGTCAGGTAGAGGAGGTCAGGTGGAGGAGGTCAGGTGGAGGAGATCAGGTGGAGGAAGTCAGGTAGGGGAGGTCAGGTGGAGGAGGTCAGGTGGAGGAGGTCAGGTGGAAGAGGTTAGGTGGAGGAGGTCAGATGGAGGAGGTCAGGTGGAAGAGGTTAGATGGAGGAAATCAGGTAGAGGAGGTCAGAGGGAGAAGGTCAGGTGGAGGAGATCAGGTGGAGGAGTTCAGATGGAGGAGGTCAGGTGGAACCATAATGAAGACCCACCAGTTCCAATCACCTGAGGAGCCCAAGGCTCGCTTCCCTGGGAAGGTCCCATGGGGAACCAGTGAGAGCAGGTACCCCTCTTGGTTTGACAGGGGGCAGGTGAGTGGGCCTGGGGACTGTCTCCCTCACAGCCTCCCACCCTGCCTGCTCTCTCTCTTAAAAATTAAATATGAGAAGATTGACACTTGTGTTTCAGGGACCAATAGACCCCTGCAGGAGGCCCAATGCATATGGGCGAGGGACATCACCAGCCTCAGGAAGCCTGTGAACCCTAAGAAGCTGCTGAAGTCCCTCGTGACGTGAGAAATCCCTGAGGACAATCCCTCTCACCAGCTTAAGACAAAGAACCAGGTCCCAGCTGATTAGATGCCACCCGGCAACTCAAGAGGTCATCGTGGTCCTGTCCTGCCGGTCCTTTCCTAGATCCAGTACTGGGACACCAATCTTAAGTGTCTTCCGAAGGTCCCAGAATGACCTTCTCTCTCTTGGCTAGGGTCTCCATAAAGGCCCTCCCGTTGATCATCGATTTGCTCGAGCGGGCCCAGTAACGTCTCCATTGGAGACTTTGTTGTTACTGTGTTTGGCATATCGAATACGTCACGGGGAGCTTGCCAGGCTCTGCCGTGCGGGCGAGATACCCTCGGTAGCTTGCCGGGCTCTCCGAGAGGGGCGGAGGAATCAAACTCGGGTCGGCCATGTTGGCCGCGTGCAAGGCAAACGCCCTACCCGCTGTCCATGTACTCTAGAAAGTGCCTCCACTGTTGGACTTGACAAAACTCCACAAGGAGAAGCAAAGAGCTGGTTCTCTCTGCAGCCAGCAAGGGGGTCAAGTGGTGGAAGAGTCAAGTCCAGAAGTGTTGGTGCTCCTGGGAAGTGTTAGCGCTCACAGGATAGAGCTTTGTCAGCAGCAGAATGCAGACAGGAGTGAGCTGGGCAGATGCACTGCCTCCTTTGCTCTTCCCTGGAGCAGATCCTCCAGGGGCCATACAGAGAACCCTGCAGCCACGTAGATGAGGTCCAGAGAGAGCCTCTGTGCGCCTCTAAGGCGCCAGGCTGGGAACCAAATGTACCACCTGCAGATGGCTGACCTTTGCCTCCAGGAACTCCCTGTTCCCTCCCTCTTACCACTCTGGGCTTGCACTGCCCAATAAATGGCCAGGACCCCAACTGCCAGGCTTAGTATTCTAGGGCAATGTTTTTAAGCTTTTCCCCAACCATGGCTCCTTCTGCCTTTGTTTCCTTCCTGGGCCCCCAGCATGAGCCTCTGTCCTGTCACTTCATCTCTTAGTCTCAGGCCCATGTGGTATCTCATTTACATGATTTTCATCTATGTCTCTCTGGGAATATCGTGGGGCTCACAGGGGAGCCACTGTCACTGTATCGCTGTTGTCTCATTGTTCATCAATTTGCTCTAGCGGGTACCAGTAACATCTCCATTCATCCCATCCCTGAGATTTTAGCAGCCTTCCTTACTCGTCCTTCCCAATGCTGCCGTATTGGAGGCTCTTTCAGGGTCAGGGGAATGAGGCCCATTATTGTTACTGTTTTTGGCATATCGAATATGCCACGGGTAGCTTGCCAGGCTCTGCCACGTGGGTGGGATAGTCTCGGTAGTTTGGGAGCCATATGGTCCCCAGTTGAAAAACTCTAGCAGATCCATCTTTGAAACGTTCAGAATAAGAGAAGGAACACATGGAGGGTGCGGGATCCCGGAGGAAAAGTAAAAAGAAAAAACAGGTTCCAAAAAGAGCCGAGAGCACCGGCAAGTTCCAGATGGAGTAGGCGCCGCATCCCGCCTCCCCCAGATGGAACCCTGGTGACCAGAAGCCTCTACAAACACAGCTCGAGTATGCGGGAACGAGGACTTTTTCTCAAATCTGCCAGACTACACCTCCCAGGTAACCTCTGATCCCGGAAGTCACGCCCACAGCCCGCCCCCCAGCGCCATCTTTGAAACGTTCAGAATAAGAGAAGGAACACATGGAGGGTGCGGGATCCCGGAGGAAAAGTAAAAAGAAAAAACAGGTTCCAAAAAGAGCCGAGATCACCGGCAAGTTCCAGATGGAGTAGGCGCCGCATCCCGCCTCCCCCAGATGGAACCCTGGTGACCAGAAGCCTCTACAAACACAGCTCGAGTATGCGGGAACGAGGACTTTTTCTCAAATCTGCCAGACTACACCTCCCAGGTAACCTCTGATCCCGGAAGTCACGCCCACAGCCCGCCCCCCAGCGCCATCTTTGAAACGTTCAGAATAAGAGAAGGAACACATGGAGGGTGCGGGATCCCGGAGGAAAAGTAAAAAGAAAAAACAGGTTCCAAAAAGAGCCGAGAGCACCGGCAAGTTCCAGATGGAGTAGGCGCCGCATCCCGCCTCCCCCAGATGGAACCCTGGTGACCAGAAGCCTCTACAAACACAGCTCGAGTATGCGGGAACGAGAACTTTTTCTCAAATCTGCCAGACTACACCTCCCAGGTAACCTCTGATCCCGGAAGTCACGCCCACAGCCCGCCCCCCAGCGCCATCTTTGAAACATCTCTCTATATACAAAGTAATCAATGAGAAGTAAACCACCCAATCTTTCTCCCTGAAAATCAGAGTTAAGTTTGGAGCATGGCCACAGCCCTAGAAACACAAGGACTTAATGCAGAAACCAGCAGCTTAGAGCAGAAAAGTGAACGGACGATGAGTTAACCCAGGCCATCATTTCTGCCCAGAGGGGAAAAGGGTGTTGCCCCATTCGCCCTCTCTTCTCTGGAAAGAAGGATGGCGGCCGCATGGGAGCCTTGTGGACAGCAGGTATGAGCCGGGGGTGTGGGGGAGACTAAAACCTCATGGGAAGGGGGGCGTTCCGGTCCATCCTTCACGCCCTACCGAGGTCACCAGTTGCCCCCCACGAGCGGCTCTCCAGCACGGCCACAGCCCCAGAAGCACAAGGGCTTAATGCAGAACCCAGCAGCTTGGAGCAGAAAAGTGAAAGGACTATGCGTTAATCCAGGCCATCAAAGTCTGCCGGAGGGGAAAGGGTGTTGCCCCATTCGCCCTCTCTTCTCTGGAAAGAAGGATGGCGGCCGCATGGGAGCCTTGTGGACAGCAGGTATGAGCCGGGGGTGTGGGGGCGACTAAAACCTCATGGGAAGGGGGGCGTTCCAGTCCGTCCTTCACGCCCTACCGAGGTCACCAGTCACCCCTCACGAGCGGCTCTCCAGCACGGCCATGGCCCCAGAAGCACAAGGACTTAATGCAGAACCCAGCAGCTTGGAGCAGAAAAGTGAACGGACTATGCGTTGATCCAGGCCATCAAGTCTGCCGGAGGGGAAAGGGTGTTGCCCCATTCGCCCTCTCCTCTCTGGAAAGAAAGATGGCGGCCACATGGGAGCCTTATGGACAGCAGGTATGAGCCGGGAGTGTGGGGGCGACTAAAACCTCATGGGAAGGGGGGCGTTTCGGTCCGTCCTTCACGCCCTACCGAGGTCACCAGTTGCCCCCCACGAGCGGCTCTCCAGCACGGCCACAGCCCCAGAAGCACAAGGGCTTAATGCAGAACCCAGCAGCTTGGAGCAGAAAAGTGAAAGGACTATGCGTTAATCCAGGCAATCATTTCTGCCCAGAGGGGAAAGGGTGTTGCTCCCTTCCGCCCTCCTCCCTCTGGAAAGAAAGATGGCGGCCACATGGGGGCCTTGTGGACAGCAGGTATGAACCGGGGGTGTGGGGGCGACTAAAACCTTATGGGAAGGGGGGCGTTCCGGTCCGTCCTTCACGCCCTACCGAGGTCACCAGTTGCCCCCCACGAGCGGCTCTCCAGCACAGCCACGGCCCCAGAAGCACAAGGACTTAATGCAGAACCCAGCAGCTTGGAGCAGAAAAGTGAACGGACTCTGCATTGATCCAGGCCATCAAGTCTGCCGGAGGGGAAAGGGTGTTGCCCCATTCGCCCTCTCCTCTCTGGAAAGAAAGATGGCGGCCACATGGGAGCCTTGTGGACAGCAGGTATGAGCCGGGAGTGTGGGGGCGACTAAAACCTCATGGGAAGGGGGGCGTTTCGGTCCGCCCTTCACGCCCTACCGAGGTCACCAGTTGCCCCCCACGAGCGGCTCTCCAGCACGGCCACAGCCCCAGAAGCACAAGGGCTTAATGCAGAACCCAGCAGCTTGGAGCAGAAAAGTGAAAGGACTATGCGTTAATCCAGGCCATCAAAGTCTGCCGGAGGGGAAAGGGTGTTGCCCCATTCGCCCTCTCTTCTCTGGAAAGAAGGATGGCGGCCGCATGGGAGCCTTGTGGACAGCAGGTATGAGCCGGGGGTGTGGGGGCGACTAAAACCTCATGGGAAGGGGGGCGTTCCAGTCCGTCCTTCACGCCCTACCGAGGTCACCAGTCACCCCTCACGAGCGGCTCTCCAGCACGGCCATGGCCCCAGAAGCACAAGGACTTAATGCAGAACCCAGCAGCTTGGAGCAGAAAAGTGAACGGACTATGCGTTGATCCAGGCCATCAAGTCTGCCGGAGGGGAAAGGGTGTTGCCCCATTCGCCCTCTCCTCTCTGGAAAGAAAGATGGCGGCCACATGGGAGCCTTATGGACAGCAGGTATGAGCCGGGAGTGTGGGGGCGACTAAAACCTCATGGGAAGGGGGGCGTTTCGGTCCGTCCTTCACGCCCTACCGAGGTCACCAGTTGCCCCCCACGAGCGGCTCTCCAGCACGGCCACAGCCCCAGAAGCACAAGGGCTTAATGCAGAACCCAGCAGCTTGGAGCAGAAAAGTGAAAGGACTATGCGTTAATCCAGGCAATCATTTCTGCCCAGAGGGGAAAGGGTGTTGCTCCCTTCCGCCCTCCTCCCTCTGGAAAGAAAGATGGCGGCCACATGGGGGCCTTGTGGACAGCAGGTATGAGCCGGGGGTGTGGGGGCGACTAAAACCTCATGGGAAGGGGGGCGTTCCGGTCCGTCCTTCACGCCCTACCGAGGTCACCAGTTGCCCCCCACGAGCGGCTCTCCAGCACAGCCACGGCCCCAGAAGCACAAGGACTTAATGCAGAACCCAGCAGCTTGGAGCAGAAAAGTGAACGGACTCTGCATTGATCCAGGCCATCAAGTCTGCCGGAGGGGAAAGGGTGTTGCCCCATTCGCCCTCTCCTCTCTGGAAAGAAAGATGGCGGCCACATGGGAGCCTTGTGGACAGCAGGTATGAGCCGGGAGTGTGGGGGCGACTAAAACCTCATGGGAAGGGGGGCGTTTCGGTCCGCCCTTCACGCCCTACCGAGGCCACCGGTTGCCCCCCGCGAGCGGCTCTCCAGCACGGCCAGGACTCCAGAACACAGAAACCAATTTCTTAACTATCTGACTTTCAGTAGAAATACTTCCAGGGTCAATAGGTAAAATAGCAGAAATCCAAAACCAACATTTAATTCTTGAACCCAGCTGTAGAAAGCAAATCACTTCACAATGCTTTTTCAGCATGTCTGATTTGGGGGGGGTGTAAACTCTAAATAATAGTGGTGAATCTTTTATTGAAACAATGAATCTAATCAAAGCAGATAGAGTGTTAACTAGAATTCATCTGCTTCACAGGGACGGAGAGGGGTGGGGGGTGGGGTTTTATTGGGGTTCTTCATGGTAAAAAATAAGTATTGGTAAAGGGAAATGTGTTTGATATTTGCATGACTGAGACATAAACCTGAAAGCTTTGTAACCTTTCCCACAGTGATTCAATAAATAAATAAAAAAAAAATAAAATAAAAAAAAAATAAAAGGGTGAATACAGTCAAAAAAAAAAAAAAAACTCTAGCAGATCCAGACGAACACCAAGGATGGCCTTCATGCTGGCCTGCGTTAGGCTGGAAGCAGCCTCAGTATATATGCCACGGTGGAGACTTATATGGGCTCCTCGCCACATTCTTACAATCAGCCCTGCAAGGCTGGCATTTTTGTCATCCACATTTAATGACAAGGACACCGAGGCTCAAGGAGGAGGAGGAGGTAAAGCTAGTCTCTGGGAGTCACAAGCAGCCAAGCCCCTGCATAGCGGGGACTTGGCGTAAGAGCAGCCTGACAAGCGCCCACCGAGGTCTTTCTATATAGGCCATGACCCACTTATCCCAGCACTCGGGACAGTGATGTGCACTGCATGGTCCCAGAGCATCCCCTCGCCCCCTATGCCTGCTGGACCTACACCCCCCACCTGTGGTCTCCACCCCAGCCAAGGGGGAGGTTGGGAGGGGGAGGAATCAGGGAACTTTGGGGGTGATGGGAGAGAGTCAAAAAAGTCCAGCCTTACCAGCTCCTTTCTCAGCCATGAGAGCATCTGCTGAAGATCAGGGTCTGAAGCATCTGTGGTTTTCATCTCCATGTCCTTGGGAGAGACCTTCACCTGGTGATGGGCCAGAGGGACCTTGGACTTGAATCGGAGCTTGACTTCAGGCGGGAACAGATGCTGGCTTAGTCCCTGCAGATGGAGTGAATGAGAGCGGGAAGTGACTCCCATCGGAAAATGCAAGTTATCATTTTTTTTTAAAGATTCCAATGCTCTGAATAGAATAAGAAGGTGAGGGGGAGCTTCCGGTGTGTGGACCTCTGTGGGATCCAGAGTTCTCAGGGGTTCCAGAACCCAAATCTGATGCCAACAGGACCACAGAGATGGTGAAGGTGTGATAACTGTGATTAGGAGAACAGTATGTCTGTGCTTGTGCATGTTACATGACATGCATATGTAGGCATATATATGAATAAATATGTAGAATTTCATTTGGGCATGATGTTACATTTGTACCCTCAAATTTCTCTCCTTGGGGCTGGAGCAATAGCCCAGTGGGTAGGGCATTTGCCTTGCACACGGCCGACTTGGGTTCGATTCCCAGCATCCCATATGGTCCCCTGAGCACTGCCAGGAGTAAATTCCTGAGTGCATGAGCCAGAAGCAACCCCTGTGCATCACCGGGTGTGACCCAAAAAGCAAAAAAAAAAAAAATTTTTTTTCTCTTCATTCCTCATCTGTTTATAGGCTTGAGATGACAGGCACACTTTCCAAGTACCCCACTTCCTGGAAGTCATGAGACCCATTTCTAACAAGTGAGATGGAGGCAGAAAGTACTGTCATAATTCTAGGAAATAATTCTTGGGCCTGCCTATAAGGGAAGGGATGGGATTGGCACTTCCCTTCTATTATTCCTTTTTTCTCCTTTCTGCCTTGCATGTGGATATGTTGCCTGAGGCAATCATTTTGCAATCCTGACAAAGGCTGTGAAGACAAGAGAGTCTGGAATCACCCCGGGTCTCCTGTTACGTGAGACAGCATACCCCATTAATTTTATTGGGCACAGTCCTCACTGCATCCCAGGAAGAGGGAGAGAAGGCTGGAGGTATAGGATGCAGTGAGACAAATCAGGACACAGAGGTTTTTTGGTTATTTGTCTTGCAGAGCCTGAGAAGGAACCCAGGCTCTCACCCATGCAAGGCAAATGCTCTACCACCAAGCTTCAGGCCTGCCGCTCGGATCGGGACTCAGTAGGAAGAAAGTGGTGCTTAGAATTCTCCTGAGCAGTGGACTCTGTCCAGTTGCCTGTTGAACACTGCTGAGGGACATGGGGGCTCCTTTTTGTTGGGAGGGGGTGGGTTACACTCGACTGTGATCAGGGCTTACTCCTGGCTCTGCACTCAGGGATCACTCCTGGCTGGGGCTCGGACCCGGGTCGATGCTCTGTAAGGGCTTCCCTGCTGCACCATCTCCACTGCCCCACAATGGAGCTTCTTTCAAGAGCACCCTGGGCAGGGCAGGGAATTGGGCTCTGTACAGGAAGCTGGAACTCCTGCGTGTGACCCAGGCTCTCTTAGACCCTGAGCTTCATCCTTTCTATCTTAGGTATAACAAGGCTCAAAAGAGTTGTGAAAATGAGTAGTAAGAAACATCCCATTCCTTCCACACAGGGATTCACTCACAGTCTCGGGTGTATTCTGATTGCCACATGCAGATAAAAATTTAAGTGCCATTTCTCCCGGTTTAACTGTTATTATTGTTGTTATTGTTGTTATTATTTGAGGCAATGTACATTCGTGCTCAGGGTTTACTATACCTGGTTCTGTACTCAGGGATCACCCCTGCAGGTGCTAGGGGGACACTGTGTGGTGTCCGGGATCAAACCAGGATCTGCTGCATGTAAGACAAGTGTCAAAACCCCGAATTCTTTCTCCAGCTCCCTGGCTGTCACTCTTCAGAGCCAGAGAGTATCTGAGAAACCCTTGCCTATCACCTTCACACCATGACCAGAAATGAGTGTTGTTGGACAGACCCTCCCTCTAGGCCAGGAGTCAAATGACCTTGTCCTCCTGGGACAACTGTCTGAGTCAGTGATGGGAACGAGACTGCTCTCAGGGTGCCTGTGCTCTGGTGACAATGTGATGCAATTAGATCTTGTTACAGAGACAGCAAGGGTGGGGACAGATAACCAAAGCAATCTAATTTAAATTTTTAATTTAAACTTGTAAAATATTTTAAAATAAAATTTTTTAATCAAAAAATTTTACCTAAAAAATAGCCAAGACAATTCAATTGATCATTTTTAATTTAAAATAAAAAATTAAAAAAATTTTTTTAATTAATTTTTTTTTCTTCGTGGGCCATACCTGACTATGCTTAGGGCTTAGTCCTGGCTCTGTGCTTAGGGGTCACTCCTGCTGGTATCCCGGAAACCAACGTGTGATATAAGATATTGAACTAGGATTGGGCACATGCAACAAGAGCACCTTAATCCCTATGCTATCTCTCTGACTGACTTGTATTTTTTTTAATGTTTTGGCTCATACCCAGCAATGCCCAGGGCTTACTCCTGGCTCTGCACTCAGGAATCACTCTTGGCATTGCTTGGGGGACTAACTGGGATGTTGGGAATGGGACCCAGGTCAGATGCATGCAAGGCAAGTGCCTTACCCACTGTACTATCCACTGTACTACCAGAGAGATGATACAAATAAAACCAGCTCTTTGGTTTCATTTGTTTGTTTTGTTTTGGGGTCATATCCAGCAACGCTCAGGGTTTTCTCTGTGCTCAGGAATCATTCCTAGTGGGATCAAGAGACCATATGGGGTGCCAGGAATCAAACCTGGACCTGCCTCTTGCAAGGTAATGCTTTACCCACTGTGCTATCTCTCTGGCCCCCAGCCAACTGGTTACTTTATTTTATTTTATTTTTTGCTTTTTTTGGGGGGGTCACACCTGGTGATGCTCAGGGGTTACTCCTGGCTCTGCACTCAGGAATTACTCCTGGCGGTGCTCAGGGAACCGTATGGAATGCTGGGAATCAAACCCGGGTCGGCTGCATGCAAGGCAAATGCCCTACCCGCTGTGCTATCGCTCCAGCCCCTAACTGGTTACTTTAAATCTCACTTACATGGGATATAATAGATTCAGATAACGGGAATGGCTAAGGGAAGGGATGGGTAATATGCATACACACGTATAGGCAGGCAGACAGCGCTGATCTCTCCTGTCTGTGGACCGGACTGACAGGCAAGATCTACAATGAAAACAAAATGACACAGATTGGCAGACGGTGTGGAGGAACGATGCAGATTGACAGATGCTGCAGATGGCAAGCAATGCAAGGGAGCACCAAGCATTGAGAAATGGCCTGGGTCCAGGCAGGGCTGCACAGCATGCAGCCATTGTGATTGTTGTCCCTGATGCAGAGGCTCCCAAATTCGTGGCCACTGCAACTCACATCAACACAATCACTCGAACTGTAAACCAAAAGCTAAACAAAACTATGCTGGACTGTGCAGATGTGAGCCTGCTCCCTGGGCCTCTTAAGGTTCTTCTTCTAAATTGGCTAGGTACTGGGGCATGTTATTCTCTTGGCAATAAAAAGGGGGTGAAAAAAACAAGTGGAACCTTGAAGGGACTCTTAGGTAGACCTTAGAACTGCCATGGTATTATTTTGGCCACATGCCAGTTGGGCCAAGCACAGAGCTGGATGTGACCCCCCAAATAAAACAAAACGAAAGAAAGAAAGAAAGAAAGAAAGAAAGAAAGAAAGAGGAAGAAACAAAGAAAGAAAGAAGAAAAGATGTCAGGAGATTGGAGTGTTAGCACAGCGGGGAGGGCATTTGCCTTGCACGCAGCCAACCCATGTTCGATTCCCAGCATCCCATATGGTTCCCTGAGCACCACCAGGAGTAATTCCTGAGTGCATGAGCCAGGAGTAACCCTGAGCATCACTGGGTGTGACCCAAAAAAGCAAAAGAAAAAAAAAAAGAAAAATATGTCAAGCTTTACACGGGAGCAACCCAAAGAATGACAGCAGCAGATATCAAGAGGTGAAGGGCTGGAAGCTGGAGCATTGTCGGGAGCCAGTGGCAGGAGACCCCAAAGCAACTAGGGAGAAGGTGATCTCAGAACGAAGTAGAATAAGTGGCATGGAATGATCATTACTCCGGATCTGGTATCGAACTAAATCCTTGGTATACATAAACATATCTGGCCTGGAGGCTCCAGCCTGGGAGATTGCACCAGTGGTAGACCATATTACCTAACATGTGAGAGGCCCTGAGTTTGATACCCAGCACCACATGCAGGTCATTCCCCGCCCCACCAAATGTCGCCCAGGTAACCCCCGAGCACTGACTCCTCTGCTGAGCCCACACTGTTAGTCCAGAGCATTTCTGGGTGTGGCTCCTTGGGACCCCTGAGAACTGCTGGCTATGACCCCTATAAACAACATTCCCCCCCAAAAATCTCTTTTGCATTTCCCAAACCATGTACTAAGACACCCCGAAGCACTGCGCAAACAATTTCATTTTGAGAGAAACACAGTAATAGCTGTTGAATACTAAATAAGCTACTAACATTAAGTTGTTTTAAAGTTATTGCTTAGCAAACAATCGTTCATTCTTTGGGCATGGTGCCCTGTGAAAAATTACTGAGATATTAAAATTTCTATGAATTTCTTCCCCTGTGGTAGGCACTGCTGCATTTTACAGATCATTATGGGTAGATCTGCTAGGAACCCTTCTTACAAAGATCAAACTGGGCCTCAAAGAGCATGGACTTTCCTAAGACCTGCCCAACACGTAAGAAACAGAACTGGAATTAGAACCTGCTCTCCTAGGCCATGTATTGCTGCAGTTGACTTGAAGGGGTGGAGGGTCCGGCAGGGACTCCAGCGGGCCATCTGCTGCCACATTCAGCAGAGATGTGGCTAGGAGGGCTTGGCAGTTTGAGGCTGGCACTCTATCCTTGGCCTCCCCTGCCTATGTCTAATTACCCTGGAAAGCGATTTTTTCTTTTTCTCATGTTTTTAATTTTTTTTTGGGGGGGGTCACACCCAGCGACACTCAGGAGTTACTCCTGGCTCCGCACTCAGGAATCACTCCTGGCAGTGCTGGGGGACCATATGGGATGCTGGGAATCGAACCCGGGTTGGCTGCATTTAAGGCAAATGCCCTACCTGCTA